TAAGAAAAGAAAAAAAATGTGACTATCATTGCATGTGGTGACATTTTCTGACACCGTCTGGCTTAAATTCACTAATTAATTTCAGGAACAACAGAGAAAAATTAGTCTTTCCTCCTCCCTTCTTCTCCCACCTATCACTTCTGTCTAGGCTCTTGACTGACACAGAGTAGGATTTTTKAGGGTATTTTTGTGTCTGTAAAATATCAGCCCTAGGTCTGACTCCATCTCCTTGGAACACGCCTGCAGGGAGTTTCTGGGGGTGAATGAGCCAGGGGGATGCTCATCACTGATGCTCTTTTGTGGCAGCTGCTCAAAGAGTTCTGTGAAAAGGTGAAGAAATTATAAACTAYGGGCTWCTGYTCCCACTTGCATGGGGGATTTTGGAAACTCTTCCTCTCCTGGCTGATAACTCCTTGGCTAGAAAAGACATTTTAAGGTGATGGAAGATACAAATGCTTATGAAATCCTAACCATCTCTCATTTGTCTTTATTAATTAATATTTTATATCTTGGGTACACATTGCTTTCAACMTCTCTTTATGCACAATGAAAGTTGCTCAAAATGTCCTCAAAATAAWACAAGACCACTTACTCAAGGAAAGGAAGTTTTCTTTGAATCCTGCTTTGTTAGCTATGTCCTGTTGGGACTGTGGCTGCTTTGGGGACCACATTTACAACCTTACCTCATGATCCCTGTTGATAGAACAATGCTAAGCATCAGACAATCTGTCTCCAAACTGCCCTGGAGAAAACACCTGGACACATGCTACTTCTCTTGTTAATGTCTTAGCCAGGCACAAATTGGTGGGACCCACCACTGATGACAGACAGTGAGAAACTCTCTGAAGCAGCCTTTTGGCTCTAAAATTGCAGGCTAGAAACCCCCTCATGGACTAGTGGACACAAYAGCATGTATAAAGGTCCCAGCATGTGTTCCTGCCGCAAGAAACCAGATGGCACACGCACATTCCATGAGCTGCCTTTCGGACCTCAGGCTGCACTTGGTTCCCTCAGGTGCACTTTGCAATTTTCCCATTTATAAATTCCCATGGGTGTCACACAGTCATGAACTCTGACATCAGTGCATCAGACAAAACCTTGATAAAACATTTAAAATGAAAACTGGGGTATTTCTAGTATTCTGTTTTCTCTATCACCAGTTTCACCTGCTTTCCCTCTTACTAAAGGTTTGATCTTCACCCCACTTTCTTTTTTTTTTTTTTCCTCCAAATACTTGCCTCTTCCTCCATATGTGCGTGGTCTCCCCTTGCCTTAAACCTCTTCCCAGTCTGGAAATGTCACTCAATATCAAAAATCATAGGCCCTTCTTTTAACCAGGCTCCAAACCTCTCCCTCTCTAGCAGAGAACTAAGCCTGTGTGTACGTCCTAACTTGGGTGACATTTACAAGGTAAAAATCTTGCCCTTAGGCTTTACTGCCRGGATCCCAGGTTGGTAAATCAAGGAATTAAAGTTTAAGAGATTGCAGGCTAGCATTTAAATATAGGACATTTAAATTCAAATTACCACAAAATGACTGCATTTTCATTATGAAAGAAGCAAGCTATAAAATTGATGTATTAAACTCTGTAATTTTCTCTAAATTTTATGTTGAAACCGTATTTTCAATGATTCATCACAATACTTAATTTCATCATTCAGTATTTTCCAAGAYGTTTTCTATAACCAAAAGACGCATCATTTCCCTAGAAGGCTGAACAGTTGTTAAAAAAAAAGTAATTGCTTATATGCAGCMTATTAACATTTGGAGAAATGTTCAAATTTCTGAAATAATTGATAATTCAGAAATGGTTCAGATTTATCTACTTATTTTTCCCTAAAACCTTAAGCGATCTTAYAGTAAAATTCTGAAGATGCTCAATGGAAAATACAAATCATTACCCCAATGTACAAATGGAGTAACACAGGAAGAGATGTGCTGGTATCAAGCAGCAGTTCAACYGCCTATCGAAACAGGAGCCAGAGTCCACATCTGCTCCTTCCTGGCCAGACACTTCTCCCAGATAAGACCRTAGGAAAGTTCTCTCTGTCCTGGCTTGGTCCTTCTGGTCACTTCTTGCAGAGCTGCCTATCGTTCTTGAACAAGYTGCCCTTGTTCCTACTCTAACCCTGTTTGGCAGTCAGAACAGTTATCTARAAAGTTGGTCACCTCAGGATACAGCAAATCGTAAAATCCATGTTATCCCATATCTCAGTCAGTCTGTGAGCACTGGACAATCCAGACAAACTCCCTGAATTCTGCCTCTTTCACATTTTAAAAGAAAAAGATAAGTATTTTCTCCAAATCACAAAAAGCTATTTTTTTTATCAATTTGCTCAATACACACCATCCTTTATTTTGATGTATTGGATTTGTGAGTTGATGTCTTGGTAGCAGGAAGGGCTACAGGCATGGTTTGTGAGAGAAGCTGCCAGGAGCTGCTCCCATGTCAGACAGAGCCGATCCCTGGTGGCTCCAGAATGGACCCAAGCGTGGCCAAGGCCAAGTCCATCAGTGACAGTGGTAGTGGCACTGGGATAATGAATTTAACAAGGGCAAAATGCACAGGAGCAACTGCAGCCAGAGAGAGGGAATGACAATATCYGAGCAAAATAGCTCCAGACACCAAGGATCAGAGCAGGACAGGCAGGAGACACTCCAGGTTCTGGAGCTGARGCTCCCCTGCAGCCCATGGAGGAGCCCACATTGGAGAAGGGGGAAACACCTGAAGGAGGCTGTGACCCCAGTGGAAGCCTGCACTGGAGCAGGCTCCTAGCAGGACCTGTGGGCCTTTGGAGAGAGGAGCCCACACTGGATCAGGTTTGCTGGCAGAACTTGAGACCTCACAGGGGACCCATGGGAGAACATCCTGATCCTGAAGGACTGCACCCTGTGGAAGGGAGCCACACTGCAGCACTTCAAGAACTGCTGCCTGGGGGAAGGACTCCTTTTATAAAAATTCATGGAGAACTGTCTCCTGTGGGAAGGATCCTACACTGGAGTAGGGGAAGGGTGTGAGGAGTCCTCCCTGTGAGGAAGGAGAAGCAGTGTGTGATGAACTGACGGCAGCCCAGATTCCCCATCCTTCTGCGCCACTTGCAGGGAAGCAGCAAAAATCAGGCGTGAAGTCAAGCCTGGGAAGAAGGAAATGCTGCGGCAAAGGTRGTTAAATATTTACTTTTATTTCTCATTATTCTTGATTGGTAATAAACTAATTTCCCCAAGTTGAGTCAGTTTTGCYRTGATKATWATTGCTRTGTGGKCTCTGCTCTTACCTCCACCCATGAGCTTTTTGTTGTATTTTCTCTCCCCTGTCCAGCTGAAGTGAAAAAACAACTCTGATGTACACCTGGCATCTAACCAAGGCCAGTCCACCACATTCAGGAAGAAAAACTCAAGAGACTTAACTTTGCCCAGGGCATTTCTATCTAACTGGTTGGTGTTGCTTTCCTTTTTCCCTWCTCAAATAAGTCCCAGTTGATTAAGTCCAACTCTGAGGTGCCTCATCTCTCTGACTGACCACACATGAATACAGGCATCAGCAGCTTTGGGATGCTGCACTGCTCAGTATCCAGGTTTCTGCAGATGTAGCCTCATTCCTCTGTGAAGAAAAGTCTCAAGAGCCATTCTGGAGTGTAGTAGTCAAATTTATTTCCACTGTAGRAGCACACTTGTTTAAGTAATAAAAAAATAACATTTTCTTTGCAGAATAAAAGTAAACCTGTAGTGGTATAAATATATTTACTTRCACAAGAATTCACCTAAATCACCCAACATAAGTTTAGACTTAGTATTCTCATAGTCCTAAATTTCCAACAGAGTTAACAAAACAGTTACTTGCAGAAAGATGAGAAAGGTCAAGTCTGGCTCAGTTGGGACTTAGCATATATGAAATAATAGAAAGCTTCCTTCCTTGRYTGTTTTTTGGGGTTTTTCTTTGTTATATGAATACACCRCTTATGAAATATACTGAGAGCCTAKAGCACTGACCATAACCRTCTGTCTAATTAAAATATATCACATGGAGAACCCTAGAAGCTTCTTCTGGCTGCCTTGCAGACCTGACATTGGTGCTGGCCAGACAGAACCAGCAAGGAGTGTAATAAGTGTTGAAGCTCAGTGCTCCTTAGGTTGTGGTCAACCTCCAAAACTCCATTCCTGACACTCCCATCACCAACTACTGCCTTTCAAGGAAAAACATGGTCTAACGATTTCCTTCAGGGGATCATCAGACTCATCAGACAGCATGCCTAATCCGTCAGTAAATTCCTGTGCTGTACTAACACAGGTGTTCTTCTCCACACAGCATTATTAATGACCTGGCGAAGCCAACAATCCAGATTATAGTAAGTATGGCGGATGTGTAACTACCTAACATGAATACTTCATGAAAAAAACCCCAAACAAACAAACAAACAAACAAACCTACTTTCTTTGTTCCCATTCAGTTCAAGCCATGGAACAACAGTAAACACAACTGCAATGAATTCTACTTGCACGCTAACTTGTAGATAACTCTTTAACTCTTTTTCCAATTGTGGGGATGGGAAAAAAGGGGGGGGGGGAAATAAAAATTTAATGAATCAATGACTCTGTATTCCTGTGTTCTGCCTAAATCATACTTCTTTACCATACAGGCTATTGTCAGCACCATGTCCTCACAACATATGCTGATTWATTCTGACCCTTCCTTCCTGTTAGTACAGTGACAAAAAGTACGAGGTTCAGCCTTGATTTGACTCAAGGCATCTACGAGAGGAGGACACTGAACTAATACAGCACAATATTGAAGACAAGAGAAYAGAACACTAAAGTTCTGATACACTAAAAAGCAATTTAACACATAAGCTCATTTATGTAGGCACACTGACATTGAGCACCATTTTTTTAAACATCAACATTCAACTCTGAACAGAAGAATGTTAAGCCTCTAGGACTGTTTCAATATTAGGAAAGGAACTACTTCTAATTTAGAAACATCAAAACACTAATGTTGACACCTTAGTCAAGACATTCACTGCAAGTGACCCTCTCTCTGAATTCGAAGGCGTTCCTTCTCCACTTGCAAGCGTTCCTTCTCAATTTGCAGCTTCTCTGACTCAAACTTAAGGAACTGCAACCTCTCTTTCTCTAACTGCAAACGTTCCTTTTCAAGTTTTAACTTTTCAGTTTCTAGATCCAAAGGCTGCATGATGGGTTTTTCTGTCTGGGTGAGGTCATTTTCCAGGGCAGGTTTCTCAGTATGCAGAGTCTCTAGCCTGAGTTTCTCCCACTCAATCTGAAGTCGCTCCTTCTCTATCTGAAGCCTCTCACGCTCCAAGTCGACGTGCCGTAACCGCTCCTTTTCAATCTGCAGGCGCTCCTTCTCCACTTGCAACCTCTCGGCTTCGATGTCCAGTCGCTGTTTCTCCAGCTCCACYTTTTGCTTCTCCAGATTTATAAGCAAGTGAGAATCTTCAAAAGCTAGCCTAGCTTGAGCAGAGCTCAGATTTCCAAACTCTTCAATGTGGGGGAAGTCTGGTAGGTCGTTTTCCTTTTTTGAATCTGGCAGAACCGATGACAATATTTCTTCTTCTTCCTCAATAGGAAACTGCAGGGATGAATGCRACAGACAAGAATTACATTCCAGCCTTTATGCCAGAATAAATTTTTTACACACAACTTGACTTAAAAAAAAAACCTGATTTTTTTTTTTACTTTTAAAGTTACTCTGAAGCGTTTAACTTGTATGCTGTGAAATAAAAATGCTAAGTCAGAAGATTTTTCTATCATTATACAGAAAGAGAAACAGGTTTTATCTGCAATTAATATCTAGTAATGAAAAATGGAAAATAGGCTTGTCAGTGAACATGCAAGTACATACAGAAAATATGGCACAGTTGTTATTACAGATCATTCAGAACAACTGATAGAAAACTGTCTCTAGAAGACCATATGTTGTTCTTACCTTTCATGGAGCTGAGTGACATTTATGTAAGCCACTAGGCATTTGTTGTGACTAATTATTTATCAGAGCAGATGGATCCATAGGCTATGTGTTATGTAAGCTAACCTAACCTTCACTAASTTTAGGATTCCATTTCTGAAAGACATTTAACACTGACATTTTTCACATGCTCCTAACCCTACCAATTCTAGTAAGTGGGTCAATAAGCAAAGCGTTTTAACCACTTTGTATTATCACATTTGCTGTAAAGCTATTTKTGATGCAGATGATGAGGTGCTTAGGACCACTGCTCTCAGCAGATGACTGTAACATTTCATGCAGAATCATAGTCCTTATGTGCTACAAATTCATAGCACGTAGGACATAAATTGTCTCCCAATACATACACTGAAAGAGAAAGGCAAACTGAGGAAGGTATGCATTCAGAAAAATCTTCGGACCAGTGATGGCACCGCCAGTCCTCTAGCATTAGAGAAGACACACACTGTTCTTCAGCACTGTCTGACAGTAGTTCTCACTACCATTTAACAGCTTAAGCTGACTTTTCACCAGCACACACATTAACAAAGTTAAGATAGGAGCTGCTTCCCCATTTCTCCCACTCAAAAAAAACCCAACAAAAAAATCTCCATCCCAAAAATCCCCAAAGCAATAAAAAACCGTAAGCAAAATTGTTTGACAACCCCTTTCTGAAATGTGAACTATGTATTTAAAGAGGAACAGCAAAACTATCCCAACATTTGACTGCACTCCAGCTGGTTGCCTATCCCAGGACAGTCTCACTACTACTTGGARTAACAACCTGTCTATAGAATCCACTACTGCTTGTCAAATTCACACTAAAATTCTGACGGAGAGGAATGGCTGACTGATTAATTCTAGTAATGTTTTCATCTCCTGTAGGTTCATTTTAAGAAATGCAAACAGTATATTTCTTTCTATATTCTATCTCTTTCTGTACTTGMAGGTAACATATACTTTCATTTCTTAAAGAAGAGCACTTCTCTGTTCATCCATCCAGGCAGCCTGAATATTAAAATCACCAATTACCTTCAACAGCATATTTTCATTGCATTGACTCAGCTAATTCTTATCTGTGGCACATACAAATGGAAAATACATGTGCAAAGACATATTCAAAGTTTAGGGATATCAAATCAATAATCAACATCCAAGACGTTACACACAATTGCAAGTTGCTAGATTTGAATACCATCTCTATGAAATATAGTTGTTTCAACAGTTTAAATCACACATTCAGAAAAAACAGAAACAGATGCTATGAAGAAACACAGTAAAAAGCCTTATGCCGAAATGAAACCAAGGCCATATTGCACATAGCTCGTGTACACCAGTCACTCACTTCGAAATTCTGTGGGTCCTCCTCTTCCTCTTCTACTTTGATTTCTGTTAAAGATCCACCAGCTTCTCTGAAGTCAGTGATATTTTGCCATTCAAAACTAGAGTCAATTGCAAATCCCATTTTGTCATCCATGTCTTCATTGAGAGAGTCATCTAAATTGGATGAAGGAAGGTGAAACCCAGGACCTACTACTTTGATGTTTGCATTCAGACGTTTTCTCTTCATGAGTGCTCTCCAGTCAAGGTACCGCCTTTTCACTTCTGTCCCTGTTCTTTGCTCTCCTTCACCTACAGCATTGACACACTCTGCTATTTCCTCCCAAGCTTTCCGTTTCATCTCATTAATTGTTGTATTAAGTTGTTTTGAAAAGAGTACTTCTCTTCTTTTTCTGATCTCCTTAAGGAGAGTTTGAGTTTCCTGAACACTAAAATTGCTTTTTCTTTTCCTTTTTAACTGTTTCATTTTTTCCAGGCTTAACCTAATGATTTCACCACAGTAGACTACAGGGATGATCTGATACTAATCAACTACTAATATAAATAAATTTTAAAGCAAATGAAAGTAGAGCTCAGTTCTCRTGAAGTAAATTTTCTCTTCACTTGGTAGTATTTTTCTATTTGTCAGGCTTCCTAAGAGAAAAAGAGCAAACAAGATGAATCTCCAAGGCATACACTATATATTTTCATTTAACAACTTGACTCCTAAGTCATCATTTAAGGAATGCATATTTTGAACTAATTGCTTATTTGATAAGAGAAAACTATTTCCTTAAATTTTGAATATAAAGTAGTCATAGATACTTTCTCTAACCTCCTGTGAATTATAAAACCATTAACACATGAATGTCATGCACTGTTAAGGTTGATTTGGTATAACCATTACAAAAATACAGCTATTTTCCTTCAGCTCTTAAAGAGTTTTGCCAGTCAGRATTTGCTTAAGACTGAAACTTGTCACACACATTTCAGTTTGAATGCTAAGTTATTTCCAAAAGAAGCTGGAATTGTTGTATCATTACTTCAAAAACATGAAATGTTTAGGGGACTGAAATTTCTGAGACTTATTTTAAATGTGATACCATTTCCATTTTAAAGAAAAAGTAACTTGAGATGAAAAGTTCACATTTTAGAGGCCCTTCTGACTTATCTTAATCATAAATAAAAGAACTGGAGCAAGCTGTTGAATGTCATAAAATAACTACTAGTTCCAACAAATGTCATTCATTAGAGACATTTCAACAGGAAATAGATTAAAATCACTACATGACCATGATAAAACCCTCCTGCATCATTCTCATACTGCTAAACATCCCATGTCAGATACAATGRCAGCTTTAAAATTCATCCAGTCCTCTACCCTCAGCACCAGCCAATCCTGTGTCTGATCCTGAAGAGAAGATGGACCCCCAAAATACACCTGACGGATTGTGTGCAACTCTGTATAGAAGTGGAGAGTGAGTGGGAGAAACAGGGGACTATTAATGCAGTAATGAGTAACTTAGACCATATTACAAAATAAAAACAATCCACAGCAACCATCAAAACCTAGAAGCAAAGACTAAGAATCAAAAATTATCTTGGTCACAGATTGCTTGGCAACAGGTCCAATTCAGGATTATTTTGAACTTTGTTTTGTACCATGTTACCTACTACTGCAGGTAAGTTCAAAAGGCTTTAAGTCAAGCAGGCCAGGGATTCACTATAGACTGCATGCAGTTTCAAGCTGCTRTTTGTTCACTGTTCATGCAGTAAAGACACCTGAAGGCAAATGGCTTCCAGATTATATATTCAATTGTGACTAACTAATGGACTTAATTCTTAAATAACTCCCTCCCAGSTATACAGGATTTTTAAATTACTAAGTATTTTTCCTACTATTGTTCTCCCTAAACTTGGTTAAAGCATACACATCAGCACATTATACTACAACTCTGTACCTAGGGAATAATGTACATACTGATTTAGACATTTTTCTTCATCTCCTATGCACTACTGACTATAATAAGTGGTTCACTTGCAGTTTTCCATGTCAAGCAATATTCTGTCATTCCCAACAGGTAAGTATGCTACCATCAAGTATTTTTTAAAACAGTGCATTTAAAAAATCTCTACTACTTTTCGTCATTAAAACACTAGTCTTCTTGCAAAGCCACTTAGTTCCAATGATTTCTAGGTAGCAAATACGCAAAACCAAGTCCCAAGAAGAAATCAATTGCATAAAGCATGAGCCTGCATCAGCACATACCAYGCTACAGTGCTCTCATGTAGCTACCCAGCACCTAGGACTCCTCAGATTCAAGTAGGAAGCTGCATGCTGCTGCTTAGGATGTGTGAGACTTTCTGCCCTTCTGAAAATGAAGTCCCAATTGGCCTTAAGAAAATGGAACTATTAAAAACGTAATATAACCTACTGCTTTAATGCAGACCCTTAACTTGACTCATAGTAAAAAAAAACAGCTGTAGAAAGCCAAATTTACATCAGAAGACAAACTGTATCTATTAGAATTACACCAGATTTTTCTGAGACCTTTTATCTGATCTTTAAGCATACTCCTTAGCAGATTTCTGCTGAATGACAGCAGAATTTTTATGTCAAGGTATATACTGGCTAAGTCCTTTACTTATCCCCAGCTAGGTGAACAAGGTTCTGGTCATTCCCAACAAAAAGGAAMCACAGGATTTTATGTATATTTATCACTTGTGTCACATTTTATCGCATTTATCATACATMTCTCTAGTTACCCTGGCTCTTTCTAAATTTCTCAGTGCTAGCACAGCAGCTTAATGTGGGCACAAACACAGAAAAAAAAATCAGCTGGGTTTCCAGATCAAATTTTCATCAGCTTCCAAATACAGTTCTATATCAACATGGAAAATGCTGACAAGCAAGTTTTCTCCTTAGCTCTGGAGAAGGCTGAGCATTAAAACATGCAAATACCAGGTCACTCTGTGGGTCGGTCCACTGCTCCTTACATCAGTGCTCTGCATCACCTGAATGATGTCCCAGCCACACTTTGTGAAGTTTTTAATCCCAGTTTWGGATTTTATGCTATAAGCCAAGGACATAATCCTTAAGAACTACAGTACTAATTTGGAAACTACTGGCATCCAATCCCTTTATTAGGTAAAGTTTTCTTTTAGACTTTTCTAAACTTTTGCTAGAACGCATCTGACACAAGCCCCTGAATTTCCCAGTGAAACATCAGTAAAACCACTRTATTTTAAAACTCACAACTACTAGCTTCCAATTGGTAAGGATATCTTGCCTCTTCTAACTCTTTCCTTCCTGAAAGCACATTGCCTTGCTAAGGACAAGTCTTTTCTCATTAATATAAATGGGGTCAGTAAATTGTCTTAAGAGTATGTTTACTCCTAGAGATAGCTCTGTGTGCCTTTCTGATATATCRACTAAAAGATCTTATTATCTAACAAAAATAAAGATTTGGGATATTCATGGKTTTTGCCATTGCTAGATAGTTTCCAGGATATTACCCTTTGAGGAAAAATGAACTGCTACATATTCAAAGTATGTAAGAGAATATTAATAAGCTAGGATTTGTACACATTCTAGACAGCTACAGGGAAAAAAAAMMCCCAAAATTCATCAGTTGGGATGGCTTTAATGCCTGTCCTAGTAGCTAGGATCATGCTGTGTTTTGGATTAGTATGACAATAATGTTGGTAACGCACCAATGTGTTGGTTGTGGCTAAGCAGTGCTTATTTTAAGTCAAGGACTTTTCAGTTTCCCACGCTCTGCCGGTGATGTGCACAAGAAGCTGGGGTGAACTGCAATGCAAAATACATACTATTACACTTTGGGTAGAAATATGAAGTATTGACTAAAAAAAACCAAACAACTCTGATGACATCATAAAGACTTCAAGGTCTTTCAGAAAAGATGGCAACATGGAGCTATGACTTTGGGCCTGTCAGGCCAAAAGCAACCTGTGATCAAGAAGGTTCTCATCGCTGCACAAAAGAAACACAAACTGTTACGCTCGAAAAGAAACAAGTACTGTAAAACTGAGCTGGAAACTCCATAAACAGAATATACATACACTGAATACCTTTGGCATAGCTAAACACAGAAGTATCCTTGTTCTGTCTCCATTGTTCACACCTTATTTTCTGACCATGTGTTGGACCAACAAAAAAAAAACCAAACCGTTAACAAATCCCCAAACATGCAAGGAAGCAAACAAAAACATCCATGCATTCACCAGGACTGGAGGACTTGTTGCTAGCATCGAACTTGAATAATTCTTTACAAAAATCATGACTTAAAAAAATATGTCTTGATGGTTTCTTTAAAAAACTTTGAGGGCTTATGTTTGAATAAAAYCCCCCTCAAATTATGAGGACCTGCTAGCTCTTAARTTCATTTAAACAAAATTAGAGAGTCTAAGTATCTTCTGCCTAAGGCTTTCTAGAAAACTTTTTGTGTGATTCSTAACAGATGGCTACATTGGCTTGGAGCAGCTTTTGTACGAAGGTTTTAGTATCGGAGGATCTGGGTGCCGCACAACACATCACCCAACACAGCCCTGCAAGAAGCCCGCGGTTYACACAAACGGAAAAGCAGGCACAGAAGGGAACCAACAACACCTAAAAGAATAATTTAACGAAGCAGGGAGAAAGCACGGAAGATGGCAAGCAGCTGGGGATTCAGGATATTGAAGACATACACTTAKGAGGCCAAAGCTGCCCTTTCCCTAAACCAGCCACGGCTACGAAGGGGTAGAGAGCACAGGGTCCCCGCGTGGGGAGAGCGCTTCGGAGGGATGAGGGCGGGCAGAGCCGCGGGGCCAGCTCGGTCCCACCCGGAGCGCCGCAGGGAAAGCAAGGCGGCAACAAAGGGAGGCGGGGGCACGGTCGGCTGCCCCGGCCAGCACGGCCCCCGGGCCCCGGAGAGCAGATGGGGCCGTGGGCCCTGCAGCAAGCCAGGGCCTCTCCGGCCGGCGGGGCTCTGCGATTCTCCCGGCAGAAGGAGGAAGAGGAACGAGACTTCCTCGTGGGGAAAAAAAGRCGACGGGCAATCGCCTCATCACCCCGAGGGGCCGAGGGCGGCAGAGCCCCACCGCTCTACCCCCGCGAGGGGGCCGAAGGCTGCCCACACGCCGCGGGGGGAGCTACCGCCCCACGCCCGGGCCGGTCCGCCGCCTGCCCCGCCCGGTCCCCGGGGACCGCGCCAGCGACTCACCTGCGCCCGACGCTCCCCTCAGGGCCGCCGGCCCTTTAACGGCCACCACGCTCCCATTGGGCGAGCCGCCTGCCTGTCACTCTTCTCCGCACGCTTATTTGTGGATTGTGTCCGCCGCTGCCCTCGCCCCGCCCCCGCCCCGTCCTGCCGCGCCAGGCGGCCCCAAACCCCCGCGTTCCTCCGCCGGCGGGGCCGCGCCGCGCGCAGCCGCCGGGCAGCCATTGGCTGCAAGCGCCGCTTGTCTTCCACRGGCCTGTCGCTGATTGGCTGCGGACAGGGGCGGCCCGCCCGCCGCTCGGTGAGGGACCCTTGGCAGGSTCGGGGCGGGTTCGGTGTCGCCGCTCCGCCCGAGGAAGTACGGTGGAGCCGAGCTTGGTGTGATTATAGTGTGGAGCAGCGGGGCAACCGGCTGTTGCTTCTAAAGTCCGCGATTCGTCATTAAAATGGAGAAATTACGTTTATCAGTGAAATTAAAGAAAGTTTGGTTTTTTTTGGAGGTGCTGCCATGTGCGAGCCACCACGCCACTGATGTGGGCGAAAACAGTTACAAGATGCTTTTATGGAGCTTTTCTAGATTGGGGCTCCTCGTTCCCTCCGCCACGCAAGCGGTGTCTGGCCCTTCCCCTCCGTGTTACCTCCCGTTGCYTTGATCATGTAACCCTACTTTTCCGAAGTTTGGTACTCTTATTCTGCTTAACCTGGTGTCTAAATKTATTACTTTGCATATTCCTTAAGCATTACTARCTCAGTTCTCTCATTCCAAGTTCTGGGCTGTAATGAGTGTTTGAACGTTTTCACTGGACAGGTAGTTATTTGATAAATACAGCTTTAAGTGATCATTASTGTCATGAAATAACAAATCTCCCTAAAACGATGTTTTCCAGTTTCAGCCAACTATTAATTTATCAGCTTGCTTACAGGTAGGTAGTAGTAGTTTTGGTACCATACTTGCCCATTGTATACTGAAAATCGTGTTAAAAAGGAAAATGGTAAGGAATAGGGTAGCAAGTCCATGCCACATTGATGGCACATATAACACAGGGATATTTCTTACTGACACCCATGTATGAACTTGGCTTCCTTTTACCAGTATTTTATTTATATTATATTTATTATTATATTTATATTATTACCAGTATTTTAACAGTGCTCAGAAAAAAAAAATTGAAGTACATCCAAAAAAGTCTTGCGAGCTAGTTCAAACTACATTCAGGTGCAAGTACATAGACAAATGATGGAAAGTAGAAGACATTAACAGTCTGAACCTCTGCCGGTCTGCAAATATAATTAGWTCTAATTATACCTCATTGAATATCCTTTTATTGTGAAGGACATACCCACTAAATATGATTAGTATCCATTAAAATAATTTTTAACTAGGAAGCTTATGATTTCCTAGAGGAGCCGTGCACATAAATCTAAATAGCTTTACTTTCTCCCAAATTGTTACTCCACTTTCATGAAGGCTGCTGTTGTCTGGTGAAAAATCCTGGTGTATACCAGCTTCCTCCAACAAAAATGCTTGGACCTCCTTCATTTATGTGAACTGTCTTGAATTTGTGTAATTGATGTGCATTTTAATMATTAAATCCAGATTCTTTCTTCCTTGCTTTTGATGACAGGAAGAAAATCCCTACCATATGGTCTACTTCAGATGCAAACTGTTCAAGTGCAATGGTAAATTCCCTGGATCTGTAGARCGTACATAGTTTCCTTCTGATTGTGCACAGGGTTATACAATTGAGCTCTCAAATTTGGTCTGTGAATACCTTCATTGTTCAMTATAAGCTTTTAATATTGTAAATGCTGTAGGAATGCTTTGTACATGTCTCCAAAAGGCTTTTGTTAGCCGAAAGGCKTTTGGGGAAAAGACTTTGGAGTGTTGGAAGGTTAATTTGTATTGCAGTAACRCTAATTCATCTATAGAGAAATCTCAGGGTTACAGAATTTTAAGTTTTGGAAGAATACAAGACAACACTGGGCTCTGTCACTTTGTATTGATGCCATTTCTGCATGCCTTGGCATGCAGATTTTAGACTATGTAKTTACCTTTTATTTACAGCTCCTTCKACTAGTACAGAAGGTCCATTTCACTAAAAATAAACACCCAATCATTTGCAATACTTAAGCTGTTAGAAAAACTTGTGTATCAATCTGATTTTTTTTAATATACCAATTTAAAAGAGTACTTTACAAAGGTAAACTTAAAAACTTCAGCAGACAAAATCAGCATGGGAACAGTAACTCAATATGCAAAGGATATACACATACAAGGTCCAAGGATAATAATAAAACATCCTCACTGCAGTTTTCATCTATTCTTGATTGTATTCTAACTGCATTCTTGGTTACAGTGTTAAAATGCTCTCCAATTGGAAAAAAAAAACAAAAACCAAAAAAAACCATCAAACCAAAAAACCAAAAAAGATTTCCTGATTATAAACACTGCAGATTCTCTGTAGTCTGAAACCCACTGGAAAAAAAAAAAAAAAGAGACCTGAGAGGTATTCAGTTGCTCAGTGCTTTATTTCACAAAAGAATTAACATCTCGGCAAACGTGTAGTATCATACTTTCCACATATCAGCAGAGCCCAGGCAGCAGCAAAATGTTACTGTTCTTTATACTTTATTGGGTGTTAGAAGGAAAAAAAGTAAATTGAGCATATGATCAAATACAATCCTGTTTTCAGGATCAAATACAATATGATCAAATACATCCCTGTTTTCAGTCTGTTTTAATTAAAATAGAGCTTATGCTGCCTCCTGTTGGTCACCYACAAACAGAAACATCTAAAATTAATCTTCACACTAGGAACTGCAGACGGCACATTCTACAGCCTATACCTYACCTACTACCCAATACTAACTAGAGGAGGTAAATAGTTTTCTTCACAGAGTAAAACCATAAATAAATCTGACACAGAAAACCTACTCCATTTTGTGAACRTAATGAATKTTTAACAGCAGTAAACTGAYTTAATACAAATGTATTTAGAATATAGAAAACAAATTAATTAGCTCTTAAATAATAATGATCGGGTCTGTGCAAACATAATCAACATAAACAMCTGAATAATTGATATAACAACTAAACCAGTATGATAATATTACCAAAATGCCATAATGTTTTCMTAGCATTCTTTAAAAATTAAGATTATCCAATATAATCATCAGTGGATATTAAAATCCCACATACAATATATATTATCTTCGTGTATATTATACTGGTCATGCTTTTAATGTGTTMTGTGACATAAAATAGAATACTATTAGAAATGTTTTGGTTACATCATTTAAGTGCAAATAGTAGATTATAATTTTACATGCATTTTGTATGTTTTAAACATCACTCAGTAAGAACATAAGTAATCATTAAACTAGTTACTGACTATTTTTAGAGGAARGTACTTTTTCATAAAGCTTTGATTCAAAGAGCTTTGAAAAGTCAGAAAAGAGGAAAAAACCTCACTTTGCATTAATTTTGTGACCTTTTTTTAAAATTGCATAACTGCTGTGCAGACTGAAACATCTGTTTGATCCAGACCTACAACAGTTACTCATGCAAGTAATTCAYATTCTTCTTTGTAGTTGACTTCACTGAGATTTCCTACATCTKTAGCAATTAATCAGGATTTGGAACAAAGGTCCTCATGAAAAAGCCTTGTTTTTAACCATGACTTTCTAACACTTCTGCTTCTTCTGCATTYAATTCTGCTACCAGATTTAATACTTTGTATGTGGAAATGCGGCAAATGACCCTTTTTCCTTCTGTGAGAGCTGCAGTACAGGCTTACGTATCTAACTGAAGAAAATCAGTACCATTTCACAATAACTTTTCTGTAAGCAATGCTAGAAAGTAACTGATATTACTACATTATTTCCTGACCATTGAGTTAAGASAGCTCAACTCTCTGTGAAATCCATGAATGATTTGTCCAGCTGGGAACTGACATCAGTTACTGTACAAGTGCAGTGTAGAATGTTAAAGAAGCATGTCTCTTTTACCAATTCAGCTTCAGTCAGTTTTCACTATCCATACTGAGGAATTTCTCACATAGGTCACTGCTCTGTCTGATGTCAAAATTCCAGAGTCTTATACATATAGCAAGCAGCTGGGTGGAAGACTGCCAAAGAAATCTGCCGAAGGGAAAACTTAGGGGATAGAGCATCACCTGAATGACTCATTCAGTTGCTGTTTATGTGATCCCAGCAATTTCGTCATGACAGTGGCAATTAAAAAACCCTTGCAATTCTCTAGTCTCTTCCAATTTGCATAGCTATTTATACCCATGTACTATGGGCATAATATGTTACTCTTCTCAATGCACAAATTGCATACTTATATTACTCAGGTATAAAAACAACACATACACAAGCAAAGGTGAATTGGGCCTTGTATTCCAATGATGTGACATGTTGCAGTAATTGATGGTTAATGAAGTCTCTATGCTACCTGAGTGAACTACTGTTTTCCTACGTATTTTTTCCTATTGTTTCAGTAAGCAGGAATAGTAGCCTTCCTATCTCAACTCAATACATTTGCTTTGCACTAACAAAAATACTTGCATTTCTGTAAGGTGATTGTAAGGGTTACCTCGCTATGTTCAGTTAAAATATGGAGACTTATGATAAAAAACCAAAATAAATGTGGAAGTTGCCTGAAATCCTGTAACAAGTTACATAGTTCTACAGAACTGAAACACATATTAATATACAGAAATTACTGAGTGGAAGTGTTCTGCTCTATTAACATGTTCTCCAAATGCACATGATYTTGATTTACATACTTATGAAAATTGTTATGATGAATGTTATCTAAATTTATAAAGRTATCTGATAACAAATTACAGAGCCAATCACGGAATTGGAACTTTCCACTGTTTACTGTTTAAAACAGAAGCATATTTTAGGCAATATTAAGCTGTAAGCATTGAGTTTGAGTTTTTCAAAAAGTACATGCAGTAGTGATGTGATAATGAACTTACCACAGTTGTCTCAAGACATATGAAAGATGTCTCTGATGYCTCAATGAATTTTATTCATGTTTTAAACTGCTTGAGAAGATGTGCTTAGATGTTTAGAATCATTATTCTATCTGGCAGAAGACAACCTTACTGCTTTCACAATACTTATATGGAATATAAGGGCTTTCCGTGTCTTATTTGGATACCTGGTAAGAAAGGAAATTCTCAGGCTGCGCAATATTACAAATTAATTTATGAAACCTAGCTAATGTCAGTGTCCTCTTGTCAGAAAGAGGGCCAACTTCGTAAACATGAGATGATCAAATCTACTTCACAACGTATGGCTAGACTAATATTAGCACTAGAAGGCCATTACAATTCTAATATTATAATAGCTGACTACTTAAAGTTTATCAAGCAATATATTGTGTAGTGTTTACTGTGTAATATTTTAACATTTAAAATTACCATGAAGTTCAAGATAAAGCATTTTAATTAATTTAAACCACAAAAGATGATTTCTCACCTCAGAAATACTATATACTATTGACTTCTAATGTGGGGGTGTAGTTTTGGAACTTTGTAACTGATGTGTGACAAGATACGAACTTGTCCCACCGTTAACGGAAGCAACAACTACAATTTCTTTTAAAGCTTGCTGCTCTAAGCAGCCTAGTGACTGCTTAGTGGGTAGCACTGGAGACTTCAGAGATGGAATACTTCTATTAGAAAACATCCTGACATGTTTTTTTTTTTTAGTTAACAAGATGACTAAAGCAAAGATTTAATATGAATYATCCATCCTGTAGAAATCTTACCTACCCTGCAGTTTACCGTGCCACAGTTAATGGGATGGAAACAGAAAATAAACCTACTACTAAGGCACAAGGATGGAGAAAAACTGGTAAAACTGAAGAGCTGAAGTAAGATGACAGGAATTATCAGTCTCTTCAAGTTAGATACCTGGCTTTAATGCTATGAAGGTCACTTTGGCTCTTGACCTTGCTAGGGTCATTACCATAAGATAAAGCTGACAGTGAATTCCTCTTACAGGTTTATGGACATAGAAAATCTAAGCARTACTAATGATTTTAAACTTCAGTTACATAGGGAAAACAGTATCACAGTCAATTTTCTCATTTAGCAATTTGTCTACTGGGACAACTGTGAATATTACAGAAATAATGGCACATATTACACAATTAATTCTTCATGAGTATTCTTTTTTGAAAAGTAGTATCATTTTGAAAGTTATTCTGATAATTACAGGGAAGAGTTGTGTATAAAATTAAGTAAYACTGTCTGTATAATGACTAGCATGAATGACATTTTAATGGACTCTTCCAAAAGCAAACCTACAGCATATAATTTAAACTGAAAATTTCAACAAACAAGTACATATTTCTCCATCTGTAAACTAATACTTAAAAACTGTTCTAGAACTTGTGCATTTAAATAGACTCTTTTGACTCAGGAGTTTCAAAATTCTCCAGAGCAAATTGTCAGTACTGGTGACCAGGGRTCCCTGTATTTATTAAACTGAATGACCTGACAGTAAAACTCAGTTAAGGCTTTTGGCATGGGTGAAACTTCTTCCCACTCAGACCTACTACTGTGGTAGACTTGAACTTCATCTGTGATTTCTTCTGGAGCATAATCACCACCTAGTATGTAAATTTTGTCTTCTGTCCCAACTGCCCCTGCGTTAAAGCCAGCACATTCAAAAGATCCTTCCCCTTTCCAAACACAGGTTTCTGGACAAAAACTGTAGACCTTGTAGGTGGAGAGATCACATATGTACAAAGTACAGTTCACTGGAACAGCTTTGATTAGAGTTGCATGAAAAAACTGCCCAAATTCTGCGACAAGCTCAGACCACTGATCAGTCATAGCGTTATACTTAAAGAAACAGTCAAGAGATGGATTAAAGGCATCAGTAATCTCTACTTCTGAGCCAAGGACGTAAATTATATTCTGGCATGCACTTGCTTCTGGATAGTAGATACCTCTTGGTAATTGGCTTACAGATTTCCAGTCTTTGGAAAGAGGATTATAGGATTCTACRTCCAAAAGACTCCGAGTTTCTTGAGCTCCTCTGGTCTTTCCACCTATTACAAAGAGCTGATTTAAAGTTACAACAGATGTGTGCATTGTCCTTGGTTTTTTCATAGCTGACACTATGGAGAATTCATTGCTGACTGGACAGTAGCACCAGGTTTGGTCAGTAGCATCATGAAATGGTTCAGCAATATGAAGCCTAACAGTCCTATAACAATTTCCCTTGCATCCTCCAGTAATAAATATTTTTTCTCCATAGCTAGATAAACTTGACCCTGGCAGATCGATCATGTGCGTATGTGGTAGTTCTTTCCATTTATCTGTTTTGATGTTGTAGCAGAATGTGTGCCTGTTTTCTCCATCTTCATCCGTTTTATGAACAAATATATATTTTTCTGTTGTTGAAGGACGTGCATCTGGAAACAGTCCACTAAAGTTCTGCACACTTTTAACTGCATCACTGATTATTACTGAACAGTTAGCACTCTTAAGTAAGTGTTCTTCAGAATGCAGATAGTCCTGCAAAGTCTTTTCAGGTAACTGGTGTAATCTCACTTTTTTAATCAAATTAGGCAGGTATTTCTGTCGTGTTTCTAMGTTGTGTTTGGTCCATTGGAGGACAGCTTTCAACACTGATTCTTCTTCAGGGACATTTAGTTCATCAGCCTCAAGACATTTCTGTAGTATCTCAAAATTCATCTCCAAAAAATCACTTGATCTGAGTAGCAATGAGAAGTGGTGTTGTACAAAATCTAGTGCATGATCAAACAAGCGGACGGACCCATAACTTTCTGACAGAGAAAGCAACTGTAAGCAATTCACAAGATCAATACTTTTTATTAGGAAGTCACTGCAAGCTTTGGAAAGGAGTGAAACTTGAAGAAATGACGACAATTGGAAGAGCATTTCCACATTATCATTGGTTATCTCTGTTTTTCCTGTGTAAGCATAATCAAGAAAAGCTTTCACTGCCTTGGGTGATAGGTTACTAATAATAACATTACCATCATCTCGCTCTTTCATATTAACTTCAAACATGGCTCTGTGAATAGAATACAGAAGATATACACACAAATTAAAGTTTTAGCAAACAGAAGAGAACAGGAGAGAATCAGGAGGAAATAATAATGAGGGCTGGTCTAAAATAGGTCTAAAATATGCAAGTTCTTATATGAACAATGAATTTACTTGGTATGTTTGAAGGAAAAATGATTGGTGATAAGAACGTATTCGAAGTGATGGTTTAACAAAATGATAGCAGCACYTGTTTTGTATGGATTTTTACAAACAGCGATGAAGTCTGCAGTTCTCATTGTGAGAGAAAATTTTTCACACCAGCATCAGTTTCAACAGCTTGGGAAAGATGCTGATTTYAAAAATACATAGTAAAAAAGCCTAATGAGTTACATCATGAACTGTGCATGAATAYATAAAATTAAGTGAAAAAAATTCCTTCCAAATTGCAGGCTGAGCAAATGGCCAGAYGGATGATGGGTGTAGTCCTCAGAAATAAAAGTAGGTTAGGGGTGAATAAAAAGAAAAAAAAAAGGAAATTTAATTCTTGCTTTAGAGTTGACAGAGAGATGTATGATTAGAAGCCAGTGTCAGAGAAAAAAAGGACGTTTTGACATATGATTGCATGACTCAGTGAAACTGCAGAAAGTAGATTGTGACAGAATACAAAGATGATGGTTGAAATTGTGGAATGAACTTTCAAAAAGTAGATTTGTGGAAAATTTATCACAACTTTATCTGCTTTATTCTAAATATGTAATAAAATTTAACTATTTCATACAGTCTAACATGACAAGAGAAAATAATTTAATTTTTTCAATCATGTAAGTGCTGCCAACAGAATACTGCTTTAATATCCCTTGCCCTACCCACTCAAAGCCTAAGCATCAGGCTGGGATAGCAGTGGCTTCTAAATATGACAAAAGACAATAGTGGAAGATTCAAATAAGTCATCAAATGTGAAGTAGAGAATCTGAGTTATTAATATAGTTAATTCATATTTTAAAAAGTGTTATATCATAGTTCAGTTATATAATTAGTATGTCTACTGTATGAGATTTTTTTAATCCCATCCTTTTCTGGAGCCAAATAGGAAAAAAACATCACAGTGTACAGCACATACACTTTGGGACATAAACGTGTGGTAAAGCAAGAAGTTGCCTGACTTCCCAAAAAAGACCATAAAATTACAGTAGGACACCTGTATCCCAAAGACCTATTTGCATACTAAGTGATGAGCCTTAAAATCCTTTCCTCATTTATCCAAGAGTTATGAAATCTCCAACTAGGGAGTAAAATAGTGAACAATACCAGAGAAGGACAGCAATGTAGGCAAAGGCTTTCAGCCTGAAATCTAACAAATAAGGATCAAAATGTTGCTGAATCTTGGGTTTATACAACGAAGCCAAAACTAAGAGAAGTCCAAAGGCCAAGGAAGACAAAAAGTATTCCATTTAAAAATGTATCTAGTGGACTTAGATCCTTGAAGGTAAAAAATTGCATTCCAGGACAACTTATGAATCTGATGGCTGCTAYTATCAACTGTATCTATCACTAGAAGCAAGGTAAGATCTTTTCGGGCAGATTTTAATCTGAAGAGTCTGTAGGTAGTGAAAAGAACACATGAGTTTCCACGTGCTTAACTTCAATTCTACAAATTACCACTGGAAGCTGCTTCATCCTGGTATTTCTTTCTACCTGATCATCTCAGTGGTGTTAGGCAGTTAAAACACAAATGAAAATAGATCTGTGTGTTAGAGAATAAAAAAAATCTACTGCTACAGTGGAGAAAGTGCTCATTTCATCTGCATTTCTTTTTTTTCAGTAATTCTCAGAATACATCTAGCTATCTTCTGTCATGTGTGGCAGACTCTCTTAGACCATGGGATGTTCCAGTAGACTTGAAATTAACACTCACCTATGTATGGGCAACCAAACTGAGGCCATTAACTTATTCCCAGGAGTCCATTTTTCATGATCAGAGAGTCTTAGCTTTTAGTAAACTGTATTCGGAAACACTTTCAGTGTGGAACTGTAAGTCTGAACCTTTCTACTAAAAAGGTTAACAAGGTTTCTTTTTAGACTCCTGTATGTGAATGCTGGCTGTCCCTTAAGAATACCAGGAGGAGAATCCATGCTGAAAGGCTGAAATCTGTTGTTGAGGAAAAGTATGCATATCTGTTTAAATACCTCCGAAGACAATCTCTACTATACTGCCATCTTATACAAAATCCAATTGCATTCCAAAAACACRTACAACTTATCCTTAATCGCTCAGGCCAAGATGTGTTTGTAATCAATCTGTTATGTTTCACAATATTAATGTGTCAAAGTATATAGGCTGTCATATAAAAAGTCAAACAAATCCTTGCAGACCTTCAAATACTGGTATGGGCAACAAGTAACTCTTAAATATATATAATGTGTGTCAGTTCTATTTAACAGCAGAACCACACACTTATGACTTGAAACTTGTATTTCAGAGTTTGGACTGCTATCGGAATCTGATTCATAGAGTTCTCACAACTTTTTGAAAATACAAACAGCAGTATCTGGCATACCCTTAAAACGATGCTTGAATGCTTTACTCAAAACTCTGCAGATATATGTAAGTTGTGATAATTTTCACTTTTTTTCTTTTTTTTAAATTCTATTCCTTCCCTCCCTCCCAGAGAACTTAAAATCTATTTCCTGCAAACTCATGCCAAAATTAGGTTTACCTGAAAAAATCACTGCATGCTGCCAGTACACAACGATGACAGGGAATTATTTCATCTTTCACAAGAATTTTAAAATCAAAAAATATATTTTGTTCTCTGAACTTTTGCAGCACTTTTAGAATTTGTTGTCCATGACCTTCAGCCACTAAGGAATTGATTTTATTTTCAGGAACAGAAATTCCATTGCAAATAGGTCTGCTAATGTAATCCCGTTGATTGGCCATGTTTTCTTCAATCTATTCCTGAAATGGAAAAATAAGTAATTGATTCTACAGTCTTATTTAAAAAAAAACCCCAACAAACAAAATCAATACACCATAAAACAAAGAACTTATCAGCATTGAATTTAGTTTGCAAATCTTATGCACAGTTAGAAATTTGTGTTTTAAGTGACTTTTGCACTGAATTTGGTAATATTACTACTTTGTAAAATATACGCACACTGCGTATTTTGAAAAGTAAAGTATAAGCTATATATCAGAGAACAATTCTACAGGTAATACTCACCTGTAGGAAATTTTTCAGTATAGTCCACAGGACACACATAAAGGAGTGTGTTTAATTATAATTTAAGAGAAAGACTAGTCTTAGGCTTACCCTCAAAAACCCCAAATTCTCAATTTTCTGTAAAATTAAGATGGAAAAAGGAAACTTTGTTACATATTTTACATTCCAAAAGGCTCATCACTGTACAGCTWGTAGTGAAAGGAAGACAGAGGCTACTAGACTGTTTCCTAAATGGATTCCCATGAGGCACTCTGGACTGCAATAATGGAATACAAAAAACACCAACAGCCTGGCTGAACCAYAGGATTGCTGGGGCTTACCAAACAGGCTCATTTAGAGATAGTTCAGTGACAGTACACCTATGAGTGTTCAKTCAGTTGAAACTGATTTTGTCATGTACCTCTACTCTTGTTAGGAAGCTTTACAGTGTCTTTAGAACATATTTAAATTTAAGACCATCTCCCTCTGAGCAGCTGAGTTTTTTTTTCTGGTGAAAATCCTTACACAGAAGTGCATTTTTTCTCTATGGAAAATTGACTTTAACTGGTTTTTACAATAAAAATATTTTACTACACTTTGTCAAYATAAAGAAACTTAAAGCATAAGTGTATTTTACTTACACCTATTTAAAGACCTATTTATATACTGCAGATGCATAAACTGCCCTTRCTGCAAATCTGAGTCAAGACAGCCTATTTTAAAGCTTAAAGAAACATTCCATTTCTTTTTTTTATTCCAGGATTTTTTATTCCAGGATTTTGCTTCCACAATTCCAATTAAAATCAGCAACAGATAATTCAGGCCCACCTGAATTGACAGGTGACAAAAAAAAATCCAAACAAAACCCAGAAACAAGAAAATACTGTTTCTGGTTTTTAATTTCGTGAAAAGGCTTATCTGATAACATGACACATTCAGAGCAAACTAAACCACAAGACAGTCTTCTTCATGTCAGATGCTTTCACAGCAGACTATCCTATACTTTATTCAGGTAGCTCCAACCACAAATAGACCTCCATGTCTCTTGGAACAGAAGAGATCCAGTGATCTTGCTGCCAGCACTGGCACCCTTGGAGCAGGCATCTTCTCCTTCCCATGGCCAGACAATCTCAATGTATTCACTCTTTCCATTCTAAGCCTGAGGAACTAGGAAAATACAGAAGAACAAGACCACCATTTATTCTGATAATGTATGGCCTCATAAACCCCAACTTCCATAAATCATAAAACTTTTTTATATGTCAGAATTCTCTACAATACCCTTTCATTATGAATTTAAAAGCCTGCTCCTCAAAAGACTGAACTTTCAACAAAAGCAGAGTTGCTTCAGTGACATTAAATTTCCCACATTTGAATGAAACTTTTTTTTAAAAAGTAAGTGAATTTCAAAGTTTATTTGGCATCATATAAAATAACACTTCTAAAAGAAACATAAATCCTTCTGCAAAATTCTGGAACCGAGAATAAATACTAGGTATCTKTCTCCTTTTACATGTAATTTCTATAGCAAGCTCCAAAATACAACTTGCTTCCTGTAAGTAAAATTATCAATTTCAGTAACATTTGTATTTGCATAATGAACATGGAAACAACACTGTAATCAAGTCCAACTCTGCTATTTTAGGCAAGACATCATATAATACTTCCATACCAACAATCAATGTTTCAGAAAGTTTTCTCTTACCATACTATTACCACAAAAACTCTATTCCAGTATATTGGTGTTGAGACTGTAAACCTCTTAATTACACAATTTATTAACATTTACATATATTTGTTCTTCTGTTAAAATTGTTGYATGACTTAATTATCCCTTGGATATTTATTCACTTTTACAATTATCAAGAGTGCTGATACCCTCTCTCAATTTAATTAGAATGGATAATTGTCAAACTTTCCAAGGTCGACTTAAAAGACTKAACTTCTGGTTTTCCTTATTATTTCTTGCAGTTTTCTCTTTACTCCGGTTTGATCCTAAATTTCTTTCATTGATACAAAATTTGTTATATAACATTATGGTTCAGATCTCATCACTGTCTCACTAGTCTAATTTGCAAGTCATCTAGTGCATCCTAATCCTAATCTCTAATAGCAGTATCTCATTATTTTCTTAAAAGCCAAATTCAGCAGTGTATCTAATGTTTTTGTTCACGATTAAGGAATGTAGTAATGAATACAGTGTAATGACTTAGCCTAATTCACCCTCCTCTCCACTAAAAAAGAAAAAAAAAACTTAAARAAATTCAATTTGTAGCTCTCTTGTAGCCAATTTCTGACTTACTTCATAATTTTGGTATTAATGTACCACTTTACTGAATCTGTTGATTATTTTAGAGCACTCCAAACTATCTTAGCAATTCAGCTAAAATGCGGTACGTTAAACAAGACCAAGTAGCATTTATAATTATTTCATGCATCCTTCTACAAAGCCATATGAATTAATCAATAGGGTTTTTTAATAAATATTTGATYAGCTCCAACAAAAGGGTAAGAAACGTAGGGGGTGCAGACATATGTTGAGGAGGTCTGCAGCTCAGGAATGCYGGGGAACACCCCTCCTTTTATTTGCTCCATAAAATCCCAGAGGATTCATTAAAGCCTGTCTTTATGTGAATTACCAAGAACCAAGCTCCAGTAAATGGTTCATTAGGGTTGGGATCTCTTACTTTTGCTTTCTAAGACATGTCTGTGTGCTGTTCAGCAACTAGCCTTGCAGTATCTCGTGGAACATGAGACAAGTACTGATCCAGTCTCTCATCACTTAACGAAACCTYGTTTGCATACTGGACCTTTACAATCTTACACTGATAAATGTTCCGTTAGCTATTAGTTTTTTTCTAAAAAAAAACAACCAACAAACCAACAATTGGTTGACAAAGACAACTGAAAACAATCCAAAACTAAACTCCCCCAAAGTTAAATGTTTAACATTTGCCCTGGCTCATTTTTTTTGTAAGCCACCTCAAATAAGAGGCCAGTTGGCTGCTACAGTAAAAAAATGATACAAATTTCACAGTTATTAAGGTCAACCCCACATAATACATGTGTAGGGGACATATGTACCTCTCAAAATTATCTGTACAGGTCTCCAGTTGAGGGGCCAGGTACTCTGCAYGCCTCACAGTGAAGTGGCAAGCAATGGCCAGTCTGTCGGAGCAGAGCAGCAGCTGCTGAACAGAAAGCTGGGGATAGTAAACTAATTTTGATCATTACAGTGGATGAAATAAGGGACCACCCGGGAGCTCTGAGGATRTAAGAGCACTCTTATGGTCTGTCACAAAATCCAGTAATAAGAGCCCAGACCTCATTAGTTCTGCTGTTTGTAAGGTCCYTCTGTTGTAGAACCAGAGTGGTTTSGGTTGGAAGCACCATTAGGGATCTTCTAGTTATAACCCTTTGCCAGTTTTAACAGTGTCCTTTTCCCAAATAAGGGACAGAGCAGTCTAGAACACAACGAGCTCATTGACCCAMATGCCAGGTAACCACACTGAACTCTGAAAAGACCATGGTCAAAATGTGAAATATACAAACATTCCTCTAAGTATCTTGTCTGTTGGTAAAAAGCTATAAGAAAGTGTTCAACTAACCCTAATTCCATGCTAACAGCTGCCAAAAMCTCATTGAATTTCCAGTGCAGTTGTTCTACTTCACCAGTGCTAATGCTCCCTTTCCAAAGATGCATAGAGGATGCAACATGTTTATGATTGTCTTTTAGTTAGCACATCAAAATCCTTCCTAAATGTTCTTATAATTCTGTACCTATAAGACACTGAAATGTGTAATTTATTTGCTTATACTTTTATTTTGGAAAGTCCAAATGACCTTTAGACTATTAGTTTAATAATAYACGTATATATGTTGAACCCTACATATTATAGTAAGAGACTGTAAAYGCAGCTGTAAAAACAATTTAAATACTATTAAAACTCATAAAGGAGACAACATACAGGTCAGACATTTTCAGAACATATAGGCTTACACTAAAATCATAACCACTGCAGTATACCTCCTAGAAATGGTTTTCAYATTCATTCCACCAGATCTGAAAGAGCAAAGCAAACAGAACTGTGAAGTGACCTTTGAGAAGAGATGAACTTCTGTTCGTGCAGCGTATTGTAGTTCCCACCACAGCACTGATCAGAACATACTGAAAATGTACGTACATTAATAAACTCTCCTGAAAAGATTTTACTAAACTAACAGCCCAAATAGCCTCAGCTGCAACAACTGATAAATAAAATGGTTACARAAGTTTAAATGTGTTAGTGACGTTGAGAACAGTGGAAGATGTGCAATTATTTCTTAGTGAATAACCAAGGAAAAGCTATCAAGCTAGGGAGAGCACATGTAATGAGAATGAAGCATGAACACCCAGATAAGAGTTCAGAAAGACAGTGGCAAAGACACCAAACTGTTTGATCACTTTGTAACAGTAAGATAAAAATATACATATAAATACGTTTGACTTTGAAATAGCCTAGGGAATGCTATTTTGTGAAAGTACTGAGCATACGTAAGTATCACACATAGCTCAGTTCATACTTTGCCAGAGAAAGCCTGTTAGGGTTCTGCCTGACTGACAATAAACAGGACCAAACCCTTGGAATGGGASTGAAGCTTGACACTGTTCCCAGCACGAGGGTGTGGCCATTCAGAAATTACAAACAACTTTGCGAGTGTAGACATTCTCTCCTCTTCCTACACAGCAAACCAGTCTACACCCTTATTTGTTACTTTATTATTTACAAACAATTGTAAAACAATCTATCAGCTTTTATCTGATAGCACAATACTGCTGTGCAACAGCACTCACCAACTAYAAAAAAATTAAATCCTAGTACTTCTTAGAGGTTATCTTATGAGAAATAAATTGTTCTTCAATTKAACATTACATTTATCATGTGGCCTTCTCACAGCTTGGATTGCATGTCTTACTAGGGAACAGGATTTTTAAAAAGGCAAATCTAAGAGCTGGTATTTTACAGCATACTTTATGTACCTAGAATAAAAGAATTAAGCACAGTGAAAATGAAGAAAATGCATAGATTTCTCTAGAGAAGTTTCAGTCATTTTTTTCATWAAAAATTCAACTGTACATCAATATATGTTTTGAAAAGGTCAAGATCAGCATTATAAGATCTAATATTAAAAGTATTACATTATTGAGTCTACTATATACCCATCAAGATGATTTACTATTTTCATTTCTTATCCATTCAAAAGGAGAGAAATTAATGATTTGTTAACAAGTTTTAAAGACATTACTCTGCCTACACATCTAATTCAACATTCACTAAGATGAATATGAGTGGAACAGATATCTGTAGGATTTGGTGACACTTCTGCCAACTAAAAAGACAAGAGTGGTTTAAAATGTAATTAAACTATAAATACAGAGCACAAGTTCTGAACTTTTATATTCCATTAATGTGTTGATTGTCCCTGACTGTCTAAGATTGGAAACACAAAGAGAATTCCAAGTTCCTGTCTGGAAATTTCAATGGAACTGGGTCTCACAGGTTTTTAAAAAATAATGAAGAAAAATAATATTCGGTCAATCATTTTCGGACAAGCAAAAAAAAGGCACAGGACATTATAAGACATTTAATCCACAAAAGTGACATTTATCAATAATAAATGTTGAGATAGTATTCTCAGATTGAAAGGTCACGCAGAGACTTGGTGTTCTTTAGAAGTGATAAAAAATAAATCAACATGGAAAAAAAACCCAGCATGGTATACCAGCAGGAAGTAAGGACATTGCATTAATTCTTGGAAGCATTCCAAAAGTGGAAGATTCCCACTCTGCAAGCAGTGATCATTAAATGCACGTTCCCTGACAAACACGTGAACCTGCTAAGATAAAGCAGTAATCAAAAGAAGCAAAACTGGCTGGAATTTATCCCAAAATTAAATTTATCAAATTCATCTAGGTCCTTTTCAAATTATTTTCTTAGRCAAAAAAAAGATCAAGAACTGTAATTTTAATTTTCAGAAAAAAAATGAATTAAAATGACAGTGTACTTCTGACAAAAATAACTGCAAATTCTGTAAAAGAAAATCACAGCTTTTAATGGCTTCTGAAGTCCGTCACTTTTGTATGTGATTAAAGTATGTCYCTTCCAGAACATGCAAGCTTTATTGATCATATTTAGAGAATAATTTAGCACAGCTTATTATCATAGCATGTTTTACTTAAAATAAAGATGTGGGTTTATATTGAATACATCCATAATTATAGTGCTTATTATACAATGAATCTTGAGCTTCAGTTTGCATTACACATTGAAGCTTTTTTTTACACATTACACATTTTTTTTAAAAAAGTCATTAAATACACTAGTGAAAAAAGGGGACATGTTTAAATCTCTCTACATAGCAAGCAGGGACAAGCCAAACTTATTAATCAAACCTGATGGGTTTTTTTGGAACTAGGTAAGACTCACAGTCCATTAGTGTTATGATCTATCTGTAATTAAATACAGATACAGCCACAATGCCCTCATCGAAGTGTGCAGAATACGAAGTTTGAAACATAATCCTCAGCTACAGTTTGAGATTGCCAAAGCGCATTTTCCTGGGCATTTTTCTTGACTGTGATCTTTGATCATTAAAYCGTCCTCTGCTGTCAGTTAACTCTGTCTATGTGTTTGGATAATAGATAAATTATGCCATTCCTTGCTTCACCAAATCATTAAGAAAAACAGGAATAATATTGTGAAATAAGTCACTAACTCTGTCTATGTGTTTGGATAATAGATAAATTATGCCATTCCTTGCTTCACCAAATCATTAAGAAAAATAGGAATAATATTGTGAAATTAGTTAAACAGCCTACTGATTCCTTCATGAAACTTTTTTTWATCCAAATGTTACTTTAGTGTTTAAAGTATTTTGCAAAGACCCATTTATACTCAGTTATAACTGAGACTTATTTTAGACAGAAAGACCTTCTGGCCTGTATAGATACAGCAGTTTTTCACATTAACAGTGAGCTGGGAATGCYATACAAGAAGGATTGTAAGAAATACRCGCAATAGTACAATTTTCAGTATTTTTTCATCATTTGTATGCGGTCAATAGAGAACGGATGTAGTGTATTCCTAAAGGCAAGCAACTTTTTAGCCATGGCCCAACTCCAGAACTAAGGGACAAAGAAATTTATTACCTTTTGTGGATTTACACGTGGCCTATAATTGAGGGCACATGGGAATCCAGTTCTGACAACCATAAGAGTTCCTAACAGAACAATGAGCATGGAATACAAGAGGCCTTTGTTCGGACAAATCCTTAGGAGTCAGAATACAGCTAGTGATGCAGGGCGTCGCATCTGCTCTGGGGACAATCRGCTCCTCTTTTATAGTCAATAATCGGCAGGCAGAGCCCACCCCGCTGCGACAGCTCTGCCAGGGGTCGGGACGGCTCTCCAGCAGGAGGGATGGCAAAGATGGGCCGGGCATCACCTGTCTTTAATAGGCCGCGTTGCCACCAAGAAACACCTCCCCCRTCCGTCCCGTTATCACCCCCCCCGCCRGCCCCGCCCCCGCCCCAAGGGCATAGCCGCCTTCCTCGTGTAACAGGGCCGGGGGAGGCAGAATTTAGAGGGCAACTACATTCATTGTGCCGGGGTTATCGCCCACCGCCAACTTCCACAGCCTCAGCCCGCAGCAGGAACCGCCATCGCCCCCGCCCCGCCCGCCGGGGGAGGGCAGCGGTRTCGGCACCCCTACTGCGCATGCTCAAGCCGCCCGCGCCTGCGCCCCGCGGCGGCTCCGTTCATTCTAAGGGAGGATTAATTCTGACACTACGGGCGGGATGGGCTGAAAGGATCCCCTTCTCWCACAGCGCGACCCGGCCGCGCCATGCCGCGGTCTCCGGCACCGCCGCCTCTCTGCAGGCGGCGCAGCGCCAGTACCCCCTGAGCGCTCCCTCCGAGCAGCGCGCACCCACCTGCAGCCAACACCCGCAGCTCACCGACCGCTCTGGCCCACCCTCTGCAGCAGCAGCGCCAGCAGATTGGCTTCTTCCGGCGTCATTCTCCTGCTCCTTGCACTGGGAATGGTTCTGCCAGCCGTCACTCCAGGTGAGAGCCCGCCCATCTCCCTGAGCGGGCTCCTCTCTGACGACACCRCGGTGCATCTCAACCGCAGGCGCCGCCTGTCCTCTGATAGGTCGGTACCTGGCGCATTTGGCTGTCACTCACGGGCTCTCTGACATCGGATTGGACTTTCCTTTTTAGAGGCGGGGCCTTCCGTGCTTCCTGCACGCTGATAGGCTCTCTCCGGGCCAAGGAGGCGGGTCATGGCGGCGCCGGGCGGGCCTGTGGGAGGGTGCGGGTGGTGCGGCGGTGTCGGCGCTGCGGGCCCGGGCCATGGGCAGCGTGCGCTGGGCCTTCCCCTGCGGCGCWTGGCGACCCCGCCGCCGGGAGTGGCTCCTGGCCGCGCAGTTGGTGCAGCCTGAGGAGAAGGACCGCATCGGCCAGTTTGTCTTTGCCCGCGACGCCAAAGCCGCCTTGGTACATGGGGAGCGGGGACGCGGTTGTCTCGCTGCGGAGSCAGTGTTGTCCAAATTCCTCGTTTCTCGTAGGAAAGCATGGCTTTCAAGGACATTTCAAGGATGTAAAACTAGAGTATAAGGTTTGATGTATAAAAGTATAAAGCTCTGCGTCACTAAGGAGCAAAGAAGGGTGTTATAAGCCCACTGTCATTAATTATTCTGAAAGACTTCACAACTTCTAAGTCCTGATGCCAAATCAGAAGACAAAATCAGCGTACCCTGGGAGGCTATACACAAGACAWCAGTGTAATATGCAGGAAAATAAAGCTCTTTTATATGATTCAGCTTTTAAATCTCTGATACTAATACCGTAATTACACACCTGGTAATTTGTAAGGAGTCACTCATCATTTTTAGCTGTTGAGTATTTCATTTAGCACCTAAGTAGTGGAATAGGTGCACTGAAAGGAAGGCTGTTGATACAATATTAGGATGGTGTAAAGAGTATTTGTGGCATAAAGTATTGTAAATAAGGTAGAAAAAGGAASTACTGTGGTTTGTCTAGACTGGGACTGCTTTTGGTCTTCTGTTGACTATGCTAATAGTGATAATGTACTTGATACTCCGGTCTGGTGAACTCTTGCTTTAGCTTACTTGACACAGGCTTTTATAGAAGGGAGAAATTTAAATTGTACGGCTAAAACACATGACAATATCAACAGTAATAAAACCACATTTTTTTAGATAAGTGGTTTTCTAGCAGCCAAATAGCAGGATAGTTGTGTATGAATCACTTCCATTTTATTTCATAGGCTGGCCGCCTGCTGATGCGGAAATTAATTGCAGAAGAGCTGCGCATACCTTGGAATGAAGTCCATTTGCAAAGGACATCAAAAGGAAAACCTTTCCTGGCCAATAACTTACTTGGTATCAATTCAAATTACAACTTCAATATCTCTCATCAAGGAGATTATGCAGTCCTTGCTGCTGAGCCTGAGCTACAAGTTGGCATTGATATTATGAAGACCAGTTTACCAGGTAAYGCATTATGGTGACCAAAGCAGATCCTGTAGTGTTTGAGTACTGAATATTTTCACATTTCCTGAAGAACCAATCTGTGTCCTAGAAATTTAGTTAACTAGAGGAGAGTCTATGAATGTATTGTGTATTTGGGGTTTCTAACTGTTAAATGCACGCCTTATGGTTTATTTTGGGGTGCYTCTTAGGATGGATAGAGATAAATTTCCCATTTAGAGAAGCAGAAACCTGGGGAAATAAGGTCATGTATCCTGCTRTGATATGCTACAGTACCAGCATCTGCAGAAACTTTATGGATTTGCTGTCTGTTAGGTAGAAGTAGGGACGTTGTTCCAAATAGGTACAATGATATCCATCCCCATGAGACTTTCTGTRTTACTCACTTGTCAAAAGTATGGTCATTTTATGTGTCAGCCAACTGGCAAYATGGATTCTCTGTGAATATGCAGTAATCCTCAGTGAGAGGGGATCTTGAGGAGGAAAYGTGAGGTGCCCTTAGTAAAAGACTAAACTTTACAAAGTATAGTTATTGTCCTGTTTGTATGAAATGACTGTATAGATTACGGAATGTTAGGACCAAAACTATAAATTAGGATTGTAGCAAACYGTATTTTTAAATACAGTTTTATGGAGATCTTTTAGTTTGCAAGTGYTCATTGGTGCTTGACTGGGTTAAAGGAGAAACATACTGGAGTTTATGATTCATTGGAATTCTAGTTTTTTAGATATGACAGTAGTAGCTGTGTTCTTAAAGAATGTTTCTTCATAATTTTTGAGTTGCCCAGTCTTTTGTGCTGCAAAATACAGGGTGTTGAAAGGTAGAGATTCATATAAACCCTGACTGGATAGCCTTCTGTCTGTTCCCTTTACACCTTTTTGAGTTCAGCTACATGTGTACACTTTTGGACTGGCATGTTTAGCTAGGATGCACAGGAACTTTGCTGCAATCKGAAGTTCTTGCCTGTGACTCCCATCTGCTGCAGACCCTCGCTCTGAAGATGGTGGCCAGCATGTGAGGCCACAGGGCAGCCTTTGGAGGATCCCCCACCAGAGCTSTTGTATGTTTTGTGGCAGCAATTGTGTATAGTGGGTTAGGCTGCTTTGGTACAAGGGCACCCCTGGCAGGACTGCAGTAACACAGGGCCCAAATAACCATGTTAAGCTTCAATGGTGCTTTCATCATGGCCCTGTCAGGCAAAGCAAGCAACGTGAGGTCACAGCTATGACTCTTTACAATGTCTGCGTACCCTCACCCCGTTTGCTGGGGGAGCACAATTGAGTGCTGTGCAAACAGTGCTGATGCTTATGTGCTCTCAACTCTGTGTTAGGCAGAGACCTAAAACACAGCACTCTACAGGCTTCCATGAAAACCGTAGCACCTAGACACAGTACCCTTGGAAACACATGGGTTGGGCTGCCACTGGCCTTACTGCAAGACTCACTAGTTACAATTGCTTATTTCAAAAAGCTTTCTAGTTTCAGTAGGTAAGTAGTGAAAGTCAAAATGTTTGAGCATTTGTATTTGAAGCTTTTCTTGGGAAGTGCAAAATTCAAAGTTTTACAGAAAAATTGAAACATTTGTATGTGTAAGTAGAGATATCCTACATCCTCTGCTGGTATTTTATGCTGCTGCAAATTATATGTTGTCAGTGTCCAGCTGACAAGTTTTAGGAAACATGTTAAACTTTATTTCTGAGATCTGAAGACTAAGTAGTAGTTTGAGATCTGATGCAGACAGGCTTCAGTGTTTTTACCCAGAGAGAGAAAAATGGTGATTATGCTGGAAATACATAAAAAATGCATTGATTCCAAAAACTGAGTGGTAAAAGATGGTACATCTGTCTTCCTTTTTGTAAATATAATTTGTACTTTTGAAAAAGAAATAAGATACTATTGAAAGTGTCATAGTTGTATGTGGGAAAGTAGGCAGCAAATAAGTAATGTTAAGGATAGAACTTGAAATTATACTCTCTGTAATATGAAGTTGGCCATTGTTTCACCTGAAATTTTTCCGAGGAAGATTTTAGTCTTAGTAGAATCACCTGAAACGTCRTTTTATTGCTGGGTTTTGGACAGGTAACACTGACTTTCCCAGTATTATTTTCTCTGATAGTTCCACTGAGTGGTGCTCTTGTTCTGCAGTTGCTAAGTACATTATATTTCTGAAGGTGAAACCACTATAAATGTCTTTTGCTAGAACAGCTACAAGGACAAAGAGTTCCCCGTGAACAAAGTACATTTCAGTAGTTTTGTTTGTTTACATCAGACACTTGTTTAAATACAAAGTACTTCATCTTGTAATGTTGACCAGCAGCATCCTGATTGAGGTCTCTAGTAGGGTAGCTCCTGCATTCCTTTATTTTTCAACCAGCGAGCATGCAAAATCTGCAGTGTAGATGTACAAGAGTATCATGCAGCTGGAAGTTTTGAAAAATCTGCTGTTTGTGTGCTAGTATGTAACAAGAAGGAATCCTGGTGTACATAAACATTTTTGTGTCACTTTTTAATCCATGCTATGTGKTTTTGTTTTATTTGTTGTTCATAACAAGCTGCCTCTTTCCATATTACTTGTGCTTCATTCTTAAAATCTGAGAAATTAAACTACTACAAGTCATAGCCTTCTTCAAAGGTGCAGTCAGGCCATGCTAGAGGCTATTCTTATGACTGCAAAAAGCAACAGKTCTACAAAAATTCTACAGGTATGCAACAGTTTGTCACCTTTTTTGCTGTATTCAGATATTGAAGTAAATACTGTAGTATTTACAGATGGTAGAAAAGGAAAATATCTTCTTTGGGTATTGTGTGTTGCTGCCTTTTGGTTATCTGGCAGGTTATTGTAGATTTAAATCAGTCTTTCAGTTTAATTGTTTTTGAAGAAGTACTGAAATCAGTGATTATTTTCTTCTCTTTAGATCAGTTTAAGATGAACTCTTGAGTCATTTGGAAAAAGATGCACTGTCCTGTAAATTTGTTAGTACCAGTCTCTGTTTACATTATTTGGCATATGAAATTATTTTAAGCCTTTCACAAAAGAAACTATAAGGATTCTCATAGTACTATTAACTCCTGTGAAAAAATTGAACTTATGTTTGATTTTTAAGTTAAGGACAACAAATTTTGCAACAAGTGTCACCTTGGTTTAGGTGGTGTGTGGGATGTTGATTTACCAGTCACTTAAACTCTGTAAAGGAGAACATTTTCAGAGACTGAGGAAATAATTATAGCTTAGTAAAGATTGCCTTTAGCATTTGAAAAAAGTTCGATTTTAGGCTCAAGAGCTTTCCCACTGTGCAAGTGAATTTCTTTTCACTAATGCAATTTCTTAGCTTAGATGGATTTGCAAAGGTAAATAAATTAGCAGTTCATCCCATATCTTTTAAAATCAGCCTGCAATCTTTCTTACCTATCACATTATATTTACTTTGATCTGCACATCTCCAATCTCAATTTTATTCCAGAATTAAATATTTGACATGCAGTAAAATTAGGTTTTCTCATTAATATTTTCATTTTATGCTAGGCTTGCTTGTTAAAAGACACAAAGAGTAAATTTTCTGCATGTGAATTTTACAGAAAAATTAATTTGATCTAAAAATACTCCATTAAATGCTTTTTTAAGAAAGTAGGCTATTATGTCCATACACCTGATTATTTAAAACTGGTTTTCTCTGAGGTAAAGATAGATAAAGAGAACTTGACTAATTTTTCTCTTTTTATTGTCATTACATTATTGTGGTGAGGTAATGCAAGACATGATAGAGTTTTCAAATCAGACAGCTCATGCATGAATCAGAGTATTTAAGTCCCAAAAGAAAATAAATACAATACGTCAGTCTAGCTAGTGGAGGACAGCTCCCTCTCCCTCTCCCTCTCCCGACCGTTTTAACCTTGGTACTGTTTGTTTTGGTGCATTCTAAGCCTAATTGAGTTAGGCACACTACATCATAGTTAACATATTTGGCACATCTTTTATCTAGCAGCCATGTTCACTTTTTTGAACTCTGAAATGTTTTTTTAATTTCTACTTTTCATCTTTTCAGTAAAAATTTGCTAACCTAGGAAGAAATTCCAAAGCATATTGTTCTTTGCCTACTTTTTGTCCTTAAGGTGACTTAACTTTACCTTAAACGAAGTTTTAACTCTTTTTAATTGTGTTTCAGTGAATCTCATAACAGGAATCARTATCTAGTCCTTTACTGCTAGAGATAATCACCAAATTGTTAGCTAATGTTACAGCTTTAGGTGTGTAGATGCAATGTTTGGAATGAATAAATTAACAAGGGTTTGGTTTAAATGTTATTTGTAGCAGATCAAAGAAGTCATAATTTATAAATAYGTACATAAGCACATSATTTTTAGATGTGAAGGAGTGTCAAAAAGCTAATATCCTTGTTGAGCTAAAGAATCAGTGATTCTATGCACTTACAGTGAATAAACAGGGAAGCATTTCTTTGTTCTTGTTCTGTTTGCAACTGGGAAGAAACAGCCATTTTAAAGGTACTCTTAAAGAATACATATTTTATAGCACTTTCATTGTTGTGCTTTATTCACATTTCTAACACAGTTTTAACCTGGAATTACACAATTCTGTAATTGATGAAGCACCAATATTTGATGAACTGTGAAAGAAAAAGTTTATATTGTGATTAAATCTCCTATTAAGGGAAAATTTCTCTATTTTCCAAAGAAACACTCTTAATCCTCTATGACTATCTCTTTAATAGAAAAATGTAAAACCATTTGGATTAAAATATAAACTGATGGTAAAATTTAGAACTGTCAAATCAAGCTGTGGAGAATAGATATGTTTAAAATGAGGGGTAAACTAGCAATAAAAAAGAAACATCTTAAAATGGGAGTGTTTAGTCAAAATAAGGCATGGAACAAAGAGTAACTATTAGAATGCTTGTCAGATTGTTTTGGTGTTGTGGTTTTTTTTTCCATTCTGTACACTGGATTTTTAATAATCACAATTTATTACCAAATTTGTGTTTTGGGAA